ATCTATCTATCTATCTATCTATCTATCTATCTATCTATCTATCTATCTATCTATCTATCTATCTATATATACACACACACACACATATATATATATATATATATATATATATATATATATATATATATATATATATATATATATATGAGCAATATCAAACTCGTAGCAGTGCGATATAACTGTGTATTGGCACTAGTGGGAGGGAGGCGTGCGTTAGTTCCTCCACCAGTGCCGATATACAGCCATATCGCAACAAATGTGATATTGCATTTATACAACAGTTTGATGGCATAATTGTGTATATAAAAACAAAATCAAAAATGGAGAGTCTCAAAAACCCTTTTGGATGAGGAACTACTTTTTTCTGCGTTGGATTCAAATCATAAGCTAACAGTTAAACAGCTAAGCAAGCATCTTTTACACTTTAGATCTGTAGTGTCTGCTTTTTGCTGGCTGTATGTGGGCGGAGTAATACACAAAGGGTAAAGAGGCTGTACGGGTGCTGATATTACTTAAATATATCCCGGCTAGCAGCCAATCGGATTTGAGAACCAGACAGAACTGTTGTGTGTGTGTGTGTGTGTGTGTGTATGTATGTATGTATATATATATATATATATATATACACACACAAATACACACACAAATACACACACACACACACACACACATATATATATATATATATATATATATATATATATATATATATATATATTCAATTCAATTCAGCTTTATTTGTATAGCGCTTTTACAATGTAGATTGTGTCAAAGCAGCTTCACATAAATGGTCATAGTAACTGGAACAGTGTGGTTCAGTAACTGGAACAGTGTGGTTCAGGTTTTAGTGTTTAAGTTCAGTTCAGTTCAGTTTAGCTCAGTTCAGTGTGATTTAATCATTACTGAGAGTTCAAACACTGAAGAGCCAATTCATCGATGCGTAGCTCTACCAATCCTGAACCATGCGAGGCAGTGGCGACAGCGGAGAGGGAAAAAAAACTTCACCTGATGGGAGTGAAGAAAAAAAACCTTGAGAGAACCAGGCTCAGTTGGGCACGACCATTTTAATTTCTCCGCTGGCCAAAAGTCTTGTGCAGAGCTTCATTCGCCGTGGTTTAGGCTGGAAGATGGCCTCAGCGAAGACTCGTCTGTCCCTGGAGCGTCGCTGGAATCAGACTCATGTTCTCCACTCCCCACGACCATCAGCGCAGCAGCAGCTCAGGATATGGCCTGGTCCAGGATATGGAATCCTTGGGATCATCACGTCGCTGGTCTTGGATCCAATCAGTGACTCCGCATAATCTGAGGACCTCGGGATGAGTATCCCCAGGTGAAAATAGAGAATAAAGAGAATAATTAGCGTAGCTGCTGTTCATAGTGTATATAAGCAAGATGCAGAAGCCAGTGTGGAACCCGCTAGGTGATGCATTGAGTCTATGCTTTACTAAACAGATAGGTCTTTAATCTAGTTTTGAACTGGGAGAGTGTGTCTGAGCCTCGGACGTTATCAGGAAGGCTATTCCAGAGTGTAGGAACCATGAAAGAGAAGGCTCGACCTCCTTTACTTGATTTTGCTATTCTAGATACTACCAGAAGCCCTGAATTTTGAGATCTTAAAGAGCGAGTTGGTTTGTAGCGAGACAGAAGGTTGGTTAGATAAACAGGAGCTAGATTATTTAGAGCTTTATAGGTGAGAAGTAATATTTTAAATTCAATACGAAACTTAACAGGCAGCCAGTGTAAGGAGGATAAAATTGGAGTTATATGATCATATTTTCTAGACCTGGTCAGAGCTCTGGCTGCTGCATTTTGTACTAATTGAAGTTTGTTAATAGAGGATGCTGGGCAGCCAGCAAATAGAGCATTACAGTAATCCAGTCTCGAAGTCATAAAAGCATGGACTAGCTTTTCTGCATCTGAGATGGATAGCATATTTCGTAATTTAGCGATATTTCTCAGATGAAAGAAGGCAGTTTTTGTGACATGGGATGTATGAGGTAAAACTAACTTTGTATCCCTCTAATTGTAAATTGAGTTGCGAGATCTGCTGTGTGCAAGATTTAGGCCCAATAAGTAATAATTCTGTTTTGTCAGAGTTTAAGAGAAGAAAATTGTTGGTCATCCAGTCTTTGATGTCTTTGATACGCTCAGTTAGTTTAGAAAGTTCAGACGTCTCGTCAGGTTTAGTTGAAATATATAATTGAGTATCATCTGCATAGCAGTGAAAGCTGATCCCATGTCTTCTAATAATGTCTCCCAGAGGTAGCATGTAAATTGTAAACAGTAAAGGGCCTAAAACTGATCCTTGAGGCACCCCATACTTTACTGGGCAGATTTGTGAAGGCTGTCCATTAAGATTCACAAACTGGTAGCTGTCAGTTAAGTATGACTTAAACCATTGTAGAGCCTGTCCCTGGACACCTGTAGACTTTAAGCAATTTATGAGGATATTGTGGTCAATGGTATCAAATGCCGCACTAAGATCGAGTAAAACTAATAGCGAGACGCACCCTCGGTCAGCAGCTAAGAGTAAATCATTGGTAATTTTCACTAAGGCAGTTTCTGTACTGTGGTGAGCCCTGAAACCTGACTGAAACACTTCAAAAATATTGTTCGTCTGCAGAAAAGAGCATAATTGAGTGGAAACAACTTTTTCTAGTATTTTAGACATAAATGGAAGATTTGAAATAGGCCTATAGTTAGCTAAGTTGTTGGTGTCTAGTTGCGGTTTCTTAATAATAGGCTTAATAACAGCTAGCTTGTAAGAGTTTGGAACATGGCCTATAGATAAAGAAGAGTTGATAATGTTAAGAAGAGGTTCTCCTATAGCAGGTAGCAGCTCTTTCAGTAATTTTGTTGGAATTGAGTCCAGCATACACGTAGCTGGTTTAGAGCTATTTATAATTTTTACTAACTCTTCATGTTCTATGATTTTGAAGCAGTGTAGGTTATTATTATGATTTAATGAAATATTTACAGGATTTGGAGTATAAGCCGGTGCAGAAAGTTTGGCATCTCCTATTTTCTGTCTAAAGCCTTCTATTTTATTACTGAAAAAATTCATGAAGTCATCACTACTAATTTGCGGTGTAGTAGTTTGTTCCAAGGATGACCGATTATTTGCTAATTTAGAAATGGTGTTAAAAAAAAATCTAGGATTGTTATGATTATTTTCTATCAGTTTGCGCAGGTGCTCGGTCCTGGCAGATTTTAGAGCCCTCCTATAGCTGGACATACTGTCTTTGTACGCAATTCTAAAGACCTCTAAATTAGTTTTTTTCCATTTACGTTCCAGGGCGTAAATGGATAATAATTTACGTTATATATGTGTGTGTGTGTTGTGTGTGTGTGTGTGTGTGTGTGTGTGTGTATGTGTATATATATATATATATATATATATATATATACATATACAGTTTGTATCTATAGTCTGGTTTTAACAAAATACATAACATAATTCACAAAACCACACACCCAAACTGCAAAATACCTCATATATCCTGCAAAACGAAGCACAACAACCAAAACTACACACAGCATTATCAAAATCAAACTTTTGAATGAAATCGCACACACTTAATTCATCATACCAGAATTTTTGCACACTTTTGCATAATGGAAAGCACCCCTAACTTTAGAATGCTTTGCCATAATACTAAAACATGTATCAGAATGTTTACATGCACATTATATATATATATATATATATATATATATATATATATATATATATATATATATATATATATATATATAAATGTTGGTCTTCTTTGGTCGTAAAGTCCTCTACCTGCTCTACCTCTACCTCTCAATCTTCTTATTCTTAACCTCCCACTTACTCTTTCTCTCTCTGTGATGTCTTCCGTTGTTGTTGTAATAAAATAGGTTCTCACCTGTAGTCTTTTCATAGTGCTTACATCCTGATTGAAGTGTTAACAATTAACTATTGAGGTGTTTGGCCAGGTGGCACATGTAATAAGTGAATTAGCTCATGTTGTGTCATTTTGAATGGCAGTGTTTTGAAATGGCAAACATATGACTTTATGCCAGATTGTTGTGTCTTATGCAGAGAGTTTTTAGTGCATTTAAAAATGTAAAAATTTTGAAATGCAAAATGTGTGTAAAGCAAGAAATGTAAGAAAAGGTTTTGCTGTTTGTGTGTGTCAGTTTACATTATTGTGCTGTGCATGACATTTTAGCGTGTTAGCATTTGGCAAAAATTAAAAAATATATATAAATAAATATAATAAATAAAATAATAAAAAAAAAATGTTGCAACAGAATGTGTGTGTATCTAAAACTAGTTCTGTGCATGTGAACAATCTAATACATATTTTAGTATTATGGCAAAGCATTCTAAAGTTGGGGGTGATCTTCATTATGCACTATATCTCAGCAATGTGTAGTTGGTTAGGCAAAAATCTGGTAATATAAATGAAGTGTGTGCCATTTCATGCAAAAGTTTGATTTTCATAATGCTGTGTGTAGTTTGGTTGCAGACAGTGCTTCATGTTGCAAGATATATAAGGTATTTAGCTGTTTTGGTCTGTGGTTTTGTGAATTGTGTGAAGTTCTTTGATAAAACCTGACTAGTTTAATTTTTTTTTTTTTTAAATGTGTGTTAGCAATTGGAAAAAAAACTGTAATGTTCAAAAATCATGAATTTTAACCCGGAAAGTTCCTTTAAAACATTGTAATTTCCTTAAAAACTAAAGGCTTGGTTTATCTTCAGGTGCTTTCACTGTTTAAGGTAAAAAAAGGGGGGAAAGAAGAGGGAAAAAGTTGGTGTATAGTGTAAGTGAAAAAAAAGAATAGTGGAAAAAACTAAGGAAAAGGAGAAAGAGAAGAGTGTGGGAAAAATCAATAAGACTCCCACTCCAAATCCGTCTGCAAAAGAAGCAATCAACCACCTCTCTTTTTCTTATATTCTCTCTCTCTCTCTCTCTCTCTCTCTCTCTCTCTCTCTCTCTCTCTCTCTCTCTCTCTCTCTCTCTCTGTAGGGCGGATAAACAGAAAGACCTATTGGTACCTCTCTACCATCAGAGCACATCCAGACACACAGACTGTCCCAGACACACACACACAAAGTGCAGAAGTGAAGTGGGCACCCCAGACTGTTATATTCAGCCCATTGAAAGCTGCCTGGAGTATTACACAACCAAAAGCAGGGATCACGGAGAAAGGAAACAAAAAAAAAAAGACTGCTAAAGAAAGAAAGAAAAACGAACAAAGAAAGAAAGAAAGAAAGAAAGAGGAGTTTTAAGTAAATAATATTAATTGTGCCTTTGCTTCATGTTTTTATGTGCAAAAATGAGTACAGTAATTGTGTTTGTGTGTATGTGTGTGCATACAAATATACATGTGATGAGTCTGATCGGTAAGAATGAATGGTATTGCTGATTGTTTAGGGAGGCCCAGAGCGGTAGCCAATAATAATCCTGCATTTGAATGAACAGCTTTTTTCCCTCCCTGGAATTTTTGTGTCTCTTCCACCATCCCTATTCACACCCTTTACTGTACATAATAGAAACAACAGAATAACATCGAAAGAAGAAGAAAAGGGAGGAGAAAGGCACTCTAAAGTGGCTTAGGTCTATCTATGCTATTTGTCAATTGAAACTGAGGCAAGCTGAATGCCTTTGTGTGTGTGTGTGTGTGTGTGTGTGTGTGTGTGTGTGTGTGTGTGTGTGTGTGTGTGTGTGTGTGTGTGTGTGTGTGTGTGTGTGTGTGTGTGTGTGTGTGTGTGCACGCACGCATGCTTGTACAAGACTGCGTGAAGCATTTCTGTGTAGCCACATGGCAGATGGGGGCATGAATGTGAGTGTGTTTGTTTCTCCCTGCGTGTGTTTTTCTGCATGTGTAACAGATGGTTAGTTGTGGTATGCGTGTTGCACTTGATGTACTCAATAGCAAGCTGGACAGTGTCCAGTGGATTTTGAATACAGTACACAATACTGTCTGACTGATGAAAGACACACCTGCTTCACCTCATATACTGAACATTAAAATACTGGAAGTGTTTTGAAAATGAGTCTGAATGTACTGTGCACAACTCAATACATTTGTTTTTATTAGCAGTGGTGTAAAGACTGCATATAATTATCGTTTGCCAACTGGTCAATGAAATCATATTTAGAGAGAAAAACAGCTGGTAAAACACAAGCACCGTTTCCTTGTTTTTGTCTTTTCGTGTTTTTATGTGTGCACTTATTTCCTGTACTTTCTCTTAATGAAGAGACCAAAACTTTCAATTTAAAACTCATTAAAACTTTGCAAAAAAATCCCTAGAAAATCAGGTGCCCTATGACTTTTGCAAAGTAGATTATCTAAACTGTATCAGACTGAATATGCTACTGTATATACCTCATATATATTTATAATAATTCCTTACATTTATGTGGCACTTTTTCTGGAAACTCAAATCACTTTACACATTTTTTGGGGGAATTTTCTCATCCATCACCAGTGTGCTGCTGGATGACACAACGGCAACCATATTGCACCACCACAAACCAGCTGATTGGTGGAGAGGAGACAGAGTGATGAAGTAACATGAGGATGGTTAGAAGGACAGAGGCCATGGGATTTTTAATATATCATCTATAACATCAGTGGTCACTGAGCAGTATAGATTCACCATCCAGATACTGGGGCATCAGGACCCACACAGACCACAGGTTGAGCACCCCCTGCTGGCCTCACTGACAGCACTTCTGGCAGCAACCTAGCCTTCCCATGCGGTCTCCCATCAATGTACTTACCAGGCACATCCCTGCTTAGCTTCAGTGGACAACCATGTGAGAGTTGCAGAGAGCTAGCTGCCAGCAATTATTATATGTATCAATTGGCAATTATGTGACAAAGCTATGTACAGAGTAAAGGTCTAACATTTAGGCCCACAGCTCACTGACCCCTCAACAACAGATACAACTTTTATTTTTGTTGTTTTCTGTTGAATCTCATTTAACACCAACACATATTAAATCCTGTACTGAACTTCAAAGTGATAAAATTTCATGTTATTAACAATAATTAATTCTACTAGATTATCTCTGTGAAGCTGCTTTGACAATGGAAGTCGGTGGAAAACCAACATGTTCAAAACAACTTTTGTGTTTTGCTAAATAAAGTAAATCACATGTGTTAATATTTTTTTTATTAATTATTTCTTTTACAGTTTTTCTCGATTGCTAAAACACTTTCTGAAAACAAAGAAACCTCTATTTTCTTAATCCATTAAACACAAAATATATAGTTCTCAGAGAGAAGTACATTTTTAGATTTGATGTTCAAGGCCATACAATTTGTTCATTGTACAGTATACAGCCTAAAATGCACTGCACTACAGTTTACAATACTAAAAGGGACAAAAGCATAGAAACTTGATCGATTTGCTGTTTCTTGTCTATAAGCTGTGTCCGGCCAGAGCCCAGTGACAATGTCACAAGCAATATTGTACTTCTGAGGCAACGGGAGAAGAAACCTTGTGTGCCATACCCAGCTCTAACATGATTCCTCACCTATATCACCACATGCTAAATCCATGACTTGCAGCAGATTTAGGCCTAATCCCAATTCTATTTTAGTACCCCTACCCCTTTCCCTTGGCCTTTACAACCGAGGGTTAAAGGTAAGGGCTTTAAAATTTAACCCTAAGAATTAGGACAGCACTACACCACCTGCACACGTCTTCCTGTGATATAGCCTTGTGATCTCATGCTTCATGTGAGATCAGATGATCGCGACTGCTGTAGTGATTCCAGTTGTGTTATTTTTTGGTATTTATCTTCAGAAAATCACTAAAGGCATATATTATGTTATCATAATGATCTAATGTGGCAATAAGATTGTAACTGTACAGTGTATTTACACAGTGGCCATATTCATCAATGGTAACACACCAAAAACAACATTAACATTATAGCAGACACTGTAAAAAGCTCTTTCTTGGTTTCGAGTGTGGTCCTGAAAAATCTTTGTTCGAAGGGCTATTCACCCCTTCATCTTAGCCCTATGTCTTCAAGCTAAAGAGAACTGGGACACCCCTACCCCTTGGCTTGCATGCGCGAAACAAGGGGTAGGGGTAAGGAGATGGGGCTAAGGGCTAGGATTGGGCCTTACTCTGGTGTAGGTTTGTCAATCATACACATTCCATTTCCAAGAGGAGAAAAACTCCTCAAGTGGATTCAGAATAGGAAAATATCGAGGGGCATACAAGTTCATAAACTACCCATTGCACTCGTCCTCTCACATTGTTTCTTCTATCCATGCTTCTTACCTTCAGTAACCTGTTTACTGGTTTATAGTGCTTGTGTCACTTCATTTAAAAAATGTGACATAAATGTTGAGTGGTTGTGTGTAAGCAATGACATATTTTCTCTATTTGTATTTGATTCTTGCTACTTGTGTTTTCCAGTATGGATGGCATGCATTAGAGTGCAGAATGTGTTTTGGAAAATGTGTTTAGAATTTTGCTGTAAATTCTAGTCTAAGTAAGATCTGCACATTGTATTTTACCTTGTGAGATGATTAAGTGTTTTGACAGCAGACTACACAATTAGCTAAATGAGGTCAGGCAACTGAGAACTTAGTTTAGCCAATGGGTTTTAATGTTTTAACAGTTGAGAAAAACTGTAATGCAATAGGAATCATGCACTAACAATAAATAATGACTGGCCTGCTTTATAAAAGCAAACAGTAAAGTATTTATACTAATTATATAGTGCTAATTCATGATGATTTAAAATGAGTGGTTTGTTAAGTAAGTGCATAGAGTTTGAGCTGATGACAAGCTAATTTAATTAAATGTGATGTGACAAATCAAAATTAGCTTAAAATAGTGAAGATGCTGAATGCATTAATCAAGCCAGTCAAATCTGGTATGTACTGAAAGAAGTATATAGTCCACATGCAGTTCACTCACAGTTAGTGGTGCCACTGACTGTGCTCATTTTTATGCAAGCAGCTTATTATATACTATGCTTGCAGAGTTTGTTTTACAGTGTGTTGCTGTATAAATTTGCAAAATATTTTGTTGTAGTGTTAGTTGTATAGTGAACCCACATGTGTGAGTAACTTAAAATTTTGTATTTCAATTAGCAGCAGAGGTTTCTTTGTTTCTTTTTGTGTCTCAGCACTTTTCAAATAAATGAAGTCATTTGCAAGAAATAATAATAAACTTAACCAACATCAAATAAACATGAATGTAAATGTCATTAAGTTATCCACCTATTACGTACTTAAAGAGTCTGGAAATGTTTATTATTTGTGTTTATAAAATAAAATTAAAATTTCGAATGGAAGCAAAGTGGCGCAGTGTGTAGCACAATCACCTCACTGCAAGAAAGTCACTGGTTCCAGCGCTGGCTGGGTCTCATGGACCCACCATGTTCTTGTGGATTTCCTCTGGGTGCTCCAGTTTCCCCCACAGTCCAGAGACATGTTATATAGATGAATTGAATAAGCTAAATTGTTCGTAGTGTATGTGTATGTATGAATGTGTATGGATAATAATAATTAATTCCTTACATTTAAAATAGCAGGAGAATCTCCTAATCCACCACCAGTGTGCAGCATCCACCTCGATGACGCGATGGCAGCGATTTTGCGCCAGACCTCACACCACACACCAGTTGATTGGTGGAGAGGAGACAGAGTGATGAATCCAATTATGATATGGTCATGATAAACAAAGGGCAGTAAGCAAATTTGGCCACATTGCCGAGGTAAAACCCATACTCTTTTTTGAAGGACATCCTGGGATTTTTAACAACCACAGAGAGAAAGAGAGAGTCAGGACCTTGTTTTAATGTCTCATCTGAAAGACGGCACTCACTGAGCAGTATAGGGTCCGGTTTCCTCTAGGTGCTCCAGCTTTCCCCACAAGCCATTGACATGTGCTATAGGTGAATTGAATAAACTAAATTGGCCGTAGTGTATGAGTTTGATGTGAACGATTTTGTAGGGATGTTTCCCAGTACTGGGTTGCAGCTGGAAGGGTATCCGCTGGGTAAAACATATGCCAAATAAGTTGGCAGTTTATTCCACTGTGGAAACCCCTGATGAATAAAGGGACTAAGCTGAAGAAACACGAATATTGTTATACGCCTCATCTGGAACGGTGACGAGTCTGCATACAGACAGGAGGTGGAGCAGCTGGCTTTATGGTGCTGATACAACAACCTGGAGCTGAACACACTCA